AAAACAAACACTACAAAGCACAAGATGGGGACAGAGTAGCAGCTGTATCCCCAGAGCTCCTACATACGAAGTCCATACATGAATAATTAGACCATCTACATGAAAGGGACACCCAAGAAGCAACACTGTGGATTCTGTGACTGACAGACATATAGGGTGGATTTAAAATAAAACTGCACGACCGAGACAAAATAAAAACAAAAGCTTCTCAAGTTTTTATTACTTGATTAAAAAACACAACAAATCCATTTTCTCCTCAGACCAAAAAAAAAAAAAAAGTCATACATACTCTGAATTCTGTTATAATATCAATAGTATGTTTTACTTAAAACACGTCGCAAACAGGAAAGTAGAAAGTTAAAACTCTTCTTTGCAAAACAGTGCTCTAAATTCCACTTTGGGTAAGAAGGAGAGACATGAAGGTATAAACATTTTATTGCACAATTTAAAAATGTTAATTGTATTAGGTACCAGAGAAATTTAGCAAAATCACTTGTAATTTCATCAAAAGATGTCAATGAAGTCACTGTGCAATAAGTTAACATTTAGTCATTTCAATTCAAAGTTGAAACATTACTAGTTCATTTTATTTAAATTAAAATTTTCGTGCACCGATTGATCTGTACCCACAGATATATGTGTTCAAAGTTGAATGTGAAATAATAAATTATCAATGATAAGTTCTACTATATTGAAAAAAATAAGTTTGGACTTTAACATTTCTTTAACTTTTAGAGGAAAATGTAGATTGGCAAAATGTCAACAATGATTAAAGATTTGGAAATGAAAATTCATTTCATGGGCAGCTGATACGGTTTTGATTTTTTAACTAAAAGCTTTAATTTTGAATAAGTAAACAACAGATCTTGGGTAGAGCTCAATTAGTAATTGACATGGTTTTATAGAATATCATTAATGTAATTTAAAAGGCAATCAAAACTTAAGTGTTATGTTATTCCACACAAAAGACAATTTGTAAGTGTCCTTTAGTTATCTGTGAAAGGCACATACAAAATAGTGAAAATAATCCTGACCTAAAGAAATAACAAGAGGCTAAAGATTATGATTTTAATTGCACTTTACAGTGAAATGGCCCAAATATAAATAGTAGTGCTTGCAAAATCAATGCTAATACTTGAGGGCCATTCTAACTTTAATAGGTATAATGTGAAAGCAAGCAAAGTCTCCACTGTGTGTAACAGCCAGTCTCCTGAAAGTTCAGGTTCTCACCTACATTAAACTTGAAGAGGGAAGCACTACCAAGGCAAACTCAAAATTCTGAGAATTAAGAAACCAATACTTTTAATAGGGTAACAATATTTAAGTCATAACATCAATGAAAAAAACTTTAAAAATTAGTGCACTTAAAGAACAGCAATAAATTTCTTAATTAAAAAATAAAAATCTCGTAACCATCTCAAGCAAAGACTGCTACTCAGGACAATAAACATGCTAGACTATTATTAAAGAGACATATCAAGAGTACTGAGAGACCAAATACCTAATATAAAATCAAGGCAGTAGCTAGATATTTTGCATGGTACACACGTGCTGGGAAAAAGTAACATGCAAATAAAAAAACACTTTTTGTAGGAAGCCATCAGTTTAGAATTCCAGTAACCTTTTGCTCATTTATATTTGTTTTCATTATGTATTTAACCTAACCCCAAAGGAATTTATTTTTAAAAGTTTATAGTGCAATGTTTATTTTTAGAGTCACTACACTTTAGAGTCTGCTACACTTACTTTAAAAGAGTTCCAGGGTAATGTTTATTTTTAGAACTACTATATAATTGCAATATTCACTTCTAATTTTATTTATCTTTATAAACCGTGATGTGATTGTTTACCTAAAAAAAACAATCAAGTAGTTTAATAAACACTAAGGCGACAATTTACCAAACAAGTTTACAATCATATTCTCTACTACCAATTATGGTTCTTACTGAAAATAAGCAGTAAACAAAAGCTTTGAGCCAATAAAATATAAAACACCAACAAAAAAGAGGGGGAAAAACTGTGAATATGTTAATTGAGAAAATAAGGTGCTAAGAAACCTGGAAAAGAAGGTATGGTAGAGTGGGAGTTTATACCAGGTAATCTTTTAAGATTACCTCAAGTTCAATTATGTGACTCAAATAAACTACAAACTTACGGTAAATGAAAAAGTACATCAAATATTCAGAGAAGTGGAATTGTGTTTTTTAAAAGTAAACAAATGCTTCAGCTGTTACAGAATACAAATCAAAACAACAATTCAGGGCTCCAAGTGGAACCACTGAGCAGAGATTTTCATTACGTAAATATTAACAGCATTTTAATATTAAAACAAATTTAAAATAAGGTAAGAATTTGCTTTCAAAAGCTAAGTCTTCCAGATAGATTTCAATCATCTAAGGTATTAGGATTGAAAGCATTTCAGTAAATATTTAAGAAAAAAAACTTTAACTGTCTTGTAATTTTACATAGGAGATAAATTTGATATATTTAATCATATATTCAGTATTACTTGGCCCTTGAATTCCATGACAGAGAATGTACTAACATAAAGCCTATTTTAAGCTAATTGAAGTGAAAACCTGAAGGATGGACCATGACTCATCACAACAAACTTCACCTCCAACATCTGGCTTTGGTTTTATTACAAAATGTAAATATTACCTCCAATATAAAGCAATGGAGAAAATTGAGCAGAAATCACATTACTTGTTTTTTAATGCATTCTAGCATTTTCAAGGCCACCCAGGGGAAAGAAACCACAAAGTTATGCACAGTGAAATAAAAGAAACCTACTGAAATAACTATTCAATTGAAAAGCACATTATAAAAAAAGTACATTATTTCTTTTAAGTTGAGTGTAATTCTTTATACAAAATACTTTGCAAGCAGCTTTAAGGTCAAATTCTGCATGAAATCTTATGTTCTTGCTTTCCCTTTTATGAAGTTCACTGTTTCTCTCTGACTGTACAGTGCTAGTAGTGAACAGAAACCACAAATTTTTAATGCCAAATTGAACAAGTAAAATGCACTATATCTGATTGATTTTGGGGACAGGAGAAATTAAGAATTTCTTTAATGATAAACTTGAAACAGGAGTAAGTCAATAATCCAGTTATGCATCTATACTAATAGAGGGTGGATGAAAGAAATAGGCAGACAGACAGACAGACACACACACACATAAATAATACAGCAGGCCCTCTGGATCCAAAAAATCCACATCCTTGCATTCAATCTACTGTGCATTAAAGCTATACTATATGGTTAGGCCTACAGTGACTATTTGATAACTGCACATGAACAAACTTTTTTCCTTGTCATTATGCCCTCAATAATACAATCTAGGAACTAATTACACTGAATTTACACTGTATTAGGTGTTATAGTCTAGAGATGACTTAAAGTATACAGCAGGAGCTGGGTAGGTTACATGCAAATACTAGTCACTTTATATAAAGAATTTGATCATCAGTTTTTGAACCCTAGGGATTTTTGGAACTAACCCCCCTCCCAACCCAGTCATTGCGGAATGACTACACACACACAACACATACCCACATCATACATAAATGATCAGAATACAGAACAACATATCAGTATACATAGTGCTTTTTTCCATATACATAATGTGCCCACAAAACCCTACACCATCAGCTCAACATTGCCAGGCACTGTCATTCATCTCTCCCTTTGCTTCAAAGTTAGCAACAACTCAAAAACAACCCACATATATCTTTAAAAATAAAAGATCATAAACTGTTACATAATGAATATAGCAAGACAGTGAAAACTCCTTATTTACTAGTTCCAAAAGAACTTTAGGAAATAACTCCACAGAAGTTTCCATAGGCAATTGTATTTCTTTCGCCTTTAAATACTTTTGAATCTTCCAACATATATGGAATATATTCTCTGGAATATAAATGGCAGCTTTAATCAAATGAAAACAATTTTAATACTGTATTTGTCCTTCAATGCGTGGAGTCTCATAATTTGGGCACTATTTGAAAATACAGTAAGTTCCTTCTGAAAGTTAAACTAAAAAAAAAATAGTTTTGAGTGGATTTCAATATTATAGTGATCCACTTCTTATAAAAACCAACTTAAAAAAATCCCTAACTGTATCTTTACAGACAAGTGGTCATAACCTGTTACATAATGAATATAACATGGTAACACTGACATTCCCTATTATGAGACTGAGTTCTACTGTAAAGCTATTATTGTGATACCCTTGATTTAACAATGTTTTTTCCTACTTTAGACAACAGATAAAACATACAAATACACAAACAATAGCATCAATAATACTTTTCCTCATAAAGGTAGTTTTTTTTTTTAGTTGTCAAATGAAGGAAAAAATTGGGGGAAAAGCCTTTATTCAAATACTTCTACTACAACCAACAGGAAAATGTCTGCCCCATCCTCCCCCCACACCAATGCTAATTAAATTAAATGAAACTCACTCTTTAGTGTTTCTAGTTTCCCATCATAGCACCCCTTTATAACGGCATTTTAATATTATTTTCATAAAGGATAATCTTTTTCTAAGTTCAAAATCTCAACTATTTGCTCCAATTAAACTGTCAGTTGCTGTCATTTAAAAAGAAAACAATAAAATCAGCTTAAAATAAATTTATTGTACAATACAAAAAGTAAGCATACTGGAAAATAAAAAGGTACATTATTAAATATACAAAGCAAATGAAAGAAAGCTAATAACACAAATGTTTTTAATTCAAACACTAAGTTAAAATGCACAACATTTATGCTAAAAATAAAGTATGTCAGGAGGATATGCATTTCAAATGAAATATTAATGATGAAAAAAAGGAAAAACACATGCTAACTTTAAATGCTTGAATATCAAGAATTGGTAATGGCAGGAAACATTAAATTCAACAATACTGGGTACTTTTCAAGGACTTTATTTTAAAAGGTATTAAAAATACTGAAGAACAAAAATAATGTCCTTAAATCTGGCAAAGATTTTCCTTTTATTTGTTTTTTTAAGTAAAGTTTGGGGGCCTATTCACAATATTTTTCCTCTTCTTCCATTTTTTACCTTTTTACAATAATTTCTGTCTGCTCATTCTCAGCAAGATTCTTTAAACAGACAAGACTAGAAAACCCTAAATACAGTTGGTAAATGTGCACTTAAGCCTTACCAACATAGTTAATAGTCACCAGAAATTAATATACGAATATTGACACAAATTTTAAAATTTCATCTTATAAAGTAGAGCTTACTTTCAAATAAAGATGAAACAATTTAAAGTATGGGAGGAAAAAAATAAATCTTTATGCAAGTTATCAAGGGATCTCGTTCCTCAAATCATAAGTGGTCTCATGGAATCAACACAAATAACACTGTCCCAAGTGAATGCCAAGGGTGGAGCTTCAAACTCCTCCACCCCCCCAACGTGGCAAAACTAGAAGCATCCAGTTAGGATATGCATCTGGGTGTTAGAGGAATGTTCATATAACATAAAATTTTCTAAAACATAAGTTATTTAAAAATGCGATTTTAGTGTTTAAGCTCACCCAAAGGCTTCTGACCAATACCGGGAGGAAACTTGTTTTCTTAGTATCAAAGTTCCCAAACTCATAGGATCAGAATTACCTGTGTTAGCACTAGTATTGCAATTACCCAATGCAATCCTTCTTGCCGCTCTACAGTTACTTTTACAGACGTGAGCCTATCACATAGGTGTCATGAAACTATCAAATTCTCCTTCTAGATCTCATTTCTGCCTCTCCAAAGCTTGTAAGTTCAAAAATGAGTAAAATGCCAAGAAACTACCAAGCTTGAAGCTGTAGGGAGTTGTGAGAATTGGACAGGTATATGGAGGAAGGAAAAAGTGTGAATAGGTCCTACAAAACTTTACAATCACTTTGCCAAGATAGACTAAATATTGTGAATTATCTGAAATCAGGCTGTACACAACCCATAGACCTTCTCCAAAAAACAAGTTTTGATTCTCAATATAACCAAAGGATCCAGATCTAGCAGAAATTTTAGTAACATACTACCTTCAGACTGAATTCATTCATTTCCTAAGTACTCTAGAAGAGTTCAAATAGAACAAATTCTACAAGATGTTATAATGTATAATAAAAGACTCGTTAGCATTCGTGAAATTATTACGATAATAAAATTATTAAAAGCTAAAAAACCAAAATTCACCATTCATACTTAAATATAACATAGAAAAAAAGTAACGTGGATAATACCAAAATATAATTGTTCAGGTAAACATTTCACATGAAGACACTCACTGTCACTGCTTCTGAGTAATAACCATTATAGCTTTTTAACAGTGAAATATGTCATTTATCTTACATCTGAAATTCTTTGGCTAGAATGGTTTAGTAACATAAAACACTCCTGTACATGACAATTCTCACAGAACAAAGAAGTTGCAAAGTAAAAAAGCAAGACACACTTAAAAGTGTTTGATAAAATTTTAAATGAACTTTTAAAATGTAAACCCAATCTATCACTAAAAATGGTTTAATGTAAACTTGCGCTAATTTTATTATCTGCTATATTCAATAATCTGCAATTCATTATTTTGAATATTTTAGTTTTGTATTGAGCATAGAAATACTTTCTACTGCCACTATGGACATGTCAGTCTTAAAACTGGAAAAAAAAAATAAAATGCAACAAAACTTAGAGAAGCTAAATGTGTGGATTTTAGAACCAAGAATTACAAAGCTGTTACTATTCTAGAATGGAACTAACTATATAGTTACAATTTTAATACAAAGAAAAATTTCAGAAATTTTTCCTTTTAGCATTTTTCCAAATAAAGCAAGTTTGCTTTATTTTTAAATACTTTTTTAAAAGACCAACAAATCCACTTTCATTGTATTAACACAGAGATTAAAAGAAAAAAAAAGCTTAATGGTTCCAGCACCCAAAGTTGAGAACACACACACACAAAAAAAAACTCAAATAAATATTATAGTATGCAAAAAAGCTAAAGATGTTTGATGTAAGAAAAAGCTAAAGATGCCTGAAAGGTTAAATGAAGAACATTCTGAAACTAGAACCCACTTCTTTAGCTTTTTTCTCCCAGACTTTCCATTCTATACACTACAGTTGTAGAGATGTCCTCATTTGACTCAGGTGACACTTTTTTCCATACTGTCTCTTTTAAAGCAAGTTCTTGTTGCAGACTTTCATAGTCCAATGGTCCAAAGGAATGCTAGTTGTTCAAGCAACATACATAATTTATTAGTGCACTTGAGTGAAGAAAGGTCCAAGCTATAAAACGGTATTTTTCAATGAATGTTATTGAAATCTGTTAACACTTTCACCCACCACCATCTGATGTTTTGCTCCTGGTTATCCATGTTGTTTCCCACGGAAGTTTTTACTGTAAGCTTTGCATAATTTTTATGTATTATTATTAGTTACTTTGATTGGAATTAGAGGTTAGAATTTCCTTTGAGAATATTTTCTACTTCTAAGTGTCTCATACTAGCTTCAAGTGTAACTAGCAATTTTAGAATTAACATTTTCTATATGGGATGCAAAGGAATGTAATTAAAATATAAAACAAGTCCCATGACCCAATGAACAGCTATGTAAAGCAAAAAATTAATTACTCCTGAAGTTTAAGTTCTCCCCTCTCAGTATTAAGTCTGTAAAGGTTTACAAATGCAGTAATATGAAGTCCAACATAGTGACAAGTGACTATATTTTAAAGTAGAATACCGTATTAAGTCAGGTATGTTGCATTAAGTACTTTTTCTGAGAAAAACTATTTTTTATAGAAAAACATCTATAGTGGCCTATAAAATGCATTATGACGAGATGTAAGGTCTCTCACTACTACTATAATCTCTTTTCTATTTAGATATCCATCCATATAAAAATAAGTTTCAAGACTGTAACTGACAAATATTAAAAGTAAATACAATGCTTTCTCTTTATAGCATGAGTGTATTCTAGTGTGTCTTACTTTAACAGAATTCTTTAAAATTTTGCTTAAAATACTAGGAAAATGGAGGGAGGGGGTGACTCTGCTGCTAAGCTAACTAATTTCAATTTAAGAAAACAGTAACAGTTTTTAATATATATACACTATTGGTCCAGGACAAAAATGTCAACAATTTGTTCACTCATTTGTGATTAGCAAAGATACAAGGTCACTAAAAATTAAACTTGGTCTTATTTAGAAAGGTGAATCTTATCTCTCTCGCGCTCAAAAAAAAAAAAAAAAAAACACATAATCTAAAAAAGAATTGTGCTTACCCTTTGATCACCACCTTCTCTTCGAGGATCAAGTTTTTTTGCAAAGTGTCTCAAATTATCATAATTATGGAAATTGCACAAAGAAACAAGATCCTGCAAATAAAAAGAAGAGCTATAAGAAACTGGCTGTTTATAGAGTATTGTTTTCTCATATTTTAACAAGTTGCATTAATATTCTATTAACTACTTTCTTACAGAAAGCACCACTGCACGTAAACAAAGCAATATAATACAATACACCAAGAAAATTACTTTTAAAAAAATGAGAAGGCATGGATACACATTTGGACAACTCTGGTTACATAGCATTTTGACTATTTAACCTTCATTTCCTATAAAATGAGTACTATAATAACAGACCACGTGAAACAAGTCTTCTACTATATAACCATAAAAATATAACTATAGTGGCTACATTACTACAATAATATATAAACAACTCAATGTCATTCTCTAGTTTCTCTAAGACTTTAATTAAGAAAGTCTGCAGAAACACTACAATATTCAATGCAGACTGCAGGAAACAGTAAATGTAAATAAAATCCTATGTTGAAATATTAAAACAAGACTTGGGTAACCACATAAAAAATGAGTTCATCAACTGTGACAATTTTAAATTGCAGTGCTATTTCTTCAAAAAAAAAAAAAAACTTTTAAAGGTAGTTTATGGATATTCAACAAAGACAAAATAAATATAATAAACTGTCGATTTTTAATTTACTTCTCCAAGTTTAGTATCTTTTGCTGAGCTTTTGAAAACTAACTACAACTTTTAAATACAATTATACAGAAGCAGTAAACAAATGTAATTTTCTGTAAGAATGATTATATCAGAACTGTCTGGTGGAAGAATTTGAAGCTCCTGAGTACTTTTACTGCTCCCCAATAACCAGGATAGGCAGCAGAGTGCCAATAACCAATAAACTATGGAAATGAGTAAAAAAACTGAATCAATGAATAGTTCAACTTCTATGATCAACACTTTCATTAAGACAATGTGCTTACATGACAGAAGTGAATTCCCTTAACACTGTTGCCCATCTTGTCCAGAGGCGGAGACCAGCACATCATGCCCATGACATTGGGGACAACTAGAAGAATGCCCCCAGCAACGCCAGATTTTGCAGGAAGACCAACCTGAAAATGATTTTAATAAATATGTATTCATATTTTAAAATAAGAAATACATGTCCAATAACAAGTAAATTAGTTTTAAAGATATGGCATATCCATTCAGTAGAATTCTGACATTAAAAATGTTGCAGGTATACATTATTAATATGTTTATAATATAGCAAATGTAATCACAAAACAATTGGGATGTATTGAAATATAAAAGAAATGTTAAAACACATATCCAAGTGAGTTAATATAGATTACATCTAAATTGTGGGGCTGTTTGTTTTCACTTTATTCTTTTTGACAATGATGTTTCCCAAAGGTTCTATAATCAATATTTACTTTAAGGATGAGTTAGTTTTAAAAAATAATTGTATGACTAAAGAACAATGAGAAATTCTATCTTCTTACAAGATCATTGGGGCATATTGTCAGAGAATTGCCTGAGGAACAGTGATAAGATAGTAAGGAAAATTAATCTTCTTCAAGTTTACATTATATAAAAATTAATTATGATAAAAGGTAAAACTAATATCTTTTGGTCAGTGATCACTAATGGTTTACTAACATTACTGCATTAACTACCTCTTGTGAAAGTGCTCTTGCAAAAAACAAACAAAAAGATCACCTGAATGAGATCTACCAATTTACAGGAAACAAAAGGGACAATGGAATCGAGGTAGTAAACTAAATCTAAACTGTTGGAAAATACTTTAAAACAAAACTAGCAAGAAAAAAATCAAGTCCAAGAAGATTATAGATTTTAAATAAAGGGAGCCACAACCAATTTACAACAAATGGCCCTATCTGCATCCCAAGCCAAACAAATTGTCAAACAGTAATTTATAAGACAGTTCAGATAACCTAAATATCAACTAAATATTTTGGTTAAGGTAACATTTTTAAGTTTTTTTTATTTTTTAAGTTATTTTTTTAATGTGGTAATGGTATTGTAGTTTTTTGGGTTTTTTTGTTTTTTAAGAGTCCTTGAGTTTAGATATTGAACTATGATATGGGTGAGGGTTGCAGAAATAAATGCAAATGAAACAAGATCAGTCACATATTGCTAGTTCCTGAAGCTGAACGATTGGGAATACTGAGTTCTATTTTTTGTTTTTAAATTTTTCAAATAAATATTTTAGAGTATTGTGACAGACATAAGCAGAATAAAGTCTGTATTTTTCACACATGGTAAACATATAATAAACTATAAAATATAATTCTGTTAGGTTTTAACTTTGATAGATCTTAAGCCTTTAAAATATCTATGGCTATCTGTAACCAAAGATGTAAGACATCACAAATATGTACTCTTTCTTTACATAAGGGATTCTTGTAATACTAAATATAAAAACTAAAGAAAGGCTGTACTAACCTTGTATATTTGAATATCTTAAAAGTAGATTTGATGAGGTCCTAGAAATTAAACTCCAAGTTCTTAAGGACATCTTGTAGACTGCTTAACTCTATTATTTACCAATTCAGTAACAAATTAACCTTGAAAACTAGCTTTTCTCTCAAGAATTAATGCACTACTTTAGAAGCAAAGTGCAAACTGCATTTTTAAAGAACCAGTTCAGAGTAGTTTCCTGCCAGAAAATGAAGATTAAATCATTACTTACATGGAAAGCAAACTGCCCTGAGAAATCATACATGCCACAGGAATGCATCAAACTCAGTGTATTTCGAACTGCTTCAGGGCTCAGCACCCTTTCACCAGTAATTGGGCAGAAACCACCGTTAGCCAGTGTTGCAGCCATTACACTGGCCGATTCACAAGTTACTTCAATGGAGCAGAGCTAAAAGGAAGAAAACTCTGAGTTCTGAAGATTTAGGTTCACATTTAGTGTTACAACTGACTTAAGGAAATCTGTTATTTCATATAGTTCTGAATTCGTTCTTCCAGAGGGATTATTTCATACAATTTGATGATATTTCAAAGACTTTAATTAGAATTAAATTCCTGCTTCTGGGCCCTCCCTGGTGGCATACCAGTTTAAAGCACAGCACTAAGAAGCTAAAGCCACTTCAGCATGAGTTCGAGCCCTGCCCCAGAGGTGACCCACATGGAGTGGCAGACCTCTCCTGACCCGCCCACTACTCCCCTCAGCAGTGTACTTTGTCGACACCTGGTTATTTCACCTACAACAAAGCTCAGCATCCTCACATGGCAACTTACAAAAGATTAAGGAAAGGGGCCTCTCTTCTGCTCCTCACTCTGGTGAATCCTCTCACTGCCCCTGAACCTCTGGCCTGTACCCCAGTTCTGTATGCATAAATAAATAAATCTTAAAAAAAAAAAATCCCGCTCCTTTAAGATTTTTTCTGATTTGCCCAGTTATTCAATCCTTTAATGGCAGAACTAGGAAGAACTAGTTCCTAAGCACTAAGATTGCCCCATGTGACATTCAAAGTTGCTTAAATATGAATGTTTTCTGTAGAATACCCTTTTTTTTAACTCAATGAGGAAAAAAGAGCCATGTTTTAAGATAAAGCAACGTACATCAATATCATGATAAAGATAACATCTACATGAGAAGTCACTACTTTAGGGGGGAAAAGTGCTAAAACACTTGGTTATTTCACCTACAACAAAGCTCAGCATCCTCACACGGCAACTTACAAAAGATTAAGGAAAGGGGCCTCTGCTGGCACAAGGGGGTAAATCCCAGCACGATGAAAGTATCCCTCAACAGCAGTTTGATTCCCAGCAAGGGAACTGACCCACATGGCACAGCAGACCTCTCCTATCTCACGCTGTTCTCCTCAGCAGTGTATTTCAGTCAGTTAGCCTGTTCGGATCCCCACCCTGTCTCTGGTGAATCCTCTCACCACCCTGTACCTCTGGCCTGTACCTTAGTTCTTGTATGCATAAATAAATCAACCTTAAAAAAAGGGCTAAGGGGGCCCTCCCTGGTGGCGCAGCGGGTTAAAGCGCAGCACTGAGAAGTTAAAGCCACTTCCACATGAGTTCGATTCCCGCCTGCCCCGGAGGTGACCACATGGCGTGGCAAACTTCTCCTGACCCGCCCGCTGCTCCCCTCAGCAGTGTACTTCGTTGATCTGCCTGTTCTGCTCCCCACTCTCTCTATGGTGAAGCCTCTTGCCGCCACTGAGCCTCTGGCCTGTACCCCAGTTCTGTATGCACAAATAAATAAATCTTTAAAAAACAAAAAAAAGGCTAAGGGAAGAAAAAACTAGGAGATCTCTAGCTTCAATACTGTATGCCTTATGCCTAAACCAAAATGCTCCCTTTTAGAAATTTTATTAACATTCAAATGTTTATATCAATTTCACTATGGGTGTAGGACATTCTATTATGAATGAAAAAAGCAAATCCAGATACACTGCAGGATGAAATTTTTGTATTTAAATATATAATCAAAGGAGATAGTCTACCACACCAAAATCCAAATTTACCCATAAAACCAAACCAATAAATATACCCTATTTTTCATTGTTAGCAATCAAAACTGGGAAGTAAAGAATAAGAGAAAGAAAATACTGAGCTGTCAATTTATAAACTTTCCTCACTCATACTTCAAGATCTACAAGAGGGATTCTGAAAATAGCAAGAAGGGAAACTACAGTGAATTAGAAAACTGGGTACCATTTAACAGGCTAAAAATTAAAACCATTTTCTAATTTTCATCCTCAGGAGCTACAGAATCTACTTAATGTACTGAAATAAAATAATGTTGATGTAATCATGAAAAGTTATCTAAAATAACATTTTAAATTCCAATTATCATTTCCTACTTTATACTAATATTAACTAGAATTGTGCTACTCATCAGGTGAGATATGAAAAATTACAATTTACAGGTAGCTTCCTAACATTCGGATAGATATTCAATTAGATTCAGCCCTTCTGTGGTTTGCTCTTGATTTTTGCCCTGAAGTATAGAAATTACACAGTAGATTAGTAGCACCTAAGCTGTACTCGACAATTAAATGTGTATTCAAGTGAAAAGAATCTTCACTATATGAGAAGAATTCCTATCTGAAAAGAAATAAAAGCTAGTGGATAAAAGTAAATATGACATTATACTTCATATATATAAAATATATATATACTACCTTTACTATAAAGCAAAAAGTTAAGTCTAAGTATATGCCACAGATAATGAAATTAGGAAACAGTAACTGAAATTAGATCATATGGCTAAAATATGGCCAGGTTAGATTTTTGATTTTGTACTAGTAGTCTAAATCCCCAATTAACAGTTCTTTCTGCTGGGCAGGTTAATACTGTCACCTTGGCCTCCATTAACATGTATTATATTAGCAACCTTCCTTATACATTCTTGGTAGTTATTGACAGGTTGAAATTACAGTACCTTTCAAACAAAGACAGGCAAATGTAAGGTAAACTAGAAGTCAGCAATGATTCATTTGCTAATGTGTGGCTTCAAATTACAAATCCATTAGTGGACCAATGGTATTAAATTTGTAAGAATAAAAAAGAGGAGTGGAGGGAGTGTCCAGGAAGGCTGTGTTAAATTACCTCTACATCACAATACATTATGTGAGAAGTTATCTTTCTTTAATATGGAGAGCTACTCCAACTTAAAACCTGTGAGACACCTCATAAGCAAACTGAGAAAACTGTCATTTTAAAATGTGGAATGTGATAAAGATACAAATTCTTCAAGTTTAAAATCTAAAAAAATGGAGCTCAGTTTATCATAAGTCAATTACTAGAACTGTCTATTATTTTTGATTAAACTTAATATAATCTGTTTATAGAAAAAAATTTCTCTATTGCAATCTATGGGATGACTTTTTAGTAATTACAATTTTGTCTTTCATAAAGATCTGTTTAAAGAAAGTCAACAAGAAATATATTTTCTCTTGGTCTCTAGCCAAGCTTTTAAAGATAGCTGTATTCTGCATAATATAACATACACATTTACAGACAAAATTCATATATTCTTTCTTATATTCAAGAAGAGAGAAATTACCTGGAAATAGAAGTCTAATATGCCAACCATATCTGTGCCTTCTGGAAAACACTGTGGGAAAAAAATCAGAAAGGCAATTGAGAACTTAAGCACACAGGAAAAAAATATGTATGTAAGCAAAAAATAGATGGATACTCAAATTAAAATATGAACAAAATGTTTCACCCAATGAGAACAAAGTAAAACATAATCTATAAAAAGGTATAAATATGAAATAATGAAGAATAAAAGCAAAAGTATATCATATATAGGTGTCTAGACACTAACTTAGCTGGTAATAATGAGATATATGAATTCATAATTCATAAAACAAGTTAATGGACCAGTCACTTAATATTTAAAATTAAACTGCAATCAACAAATGGGAGTTATTTTATTTTTTAAAAGATGGGTTAACCCTTAAGCAGAATTTGCATGAATATAACTATAGTCAACTACTTGAATACTGAAAAATACAAACTGATTTACTGGCTAGAATATTTTGCAAAAGTTTCAGATCCTTAAATATTAGCAGGCAGTTGCTTAAAAACTACCACTGAATTTTTAACATTCACCTTCATGTATTTTATTAAAAAGAATAATTTGAAATAGAAACAAAAAAATTAAAAACCTTTTTTTCTTTTAAGTAATATCCTATTGCAAAATTTCGATCTCCACTTTCTCTTTCAGACTGAAACCTAGAAAAAGAAAAAAATTCTGTTTACTTTCTGTAAAAGTATGACTGGTTTGTAGTTTAATTTGCATAGTAAAATACAGTATAAAGAAAACTGACCTGAAAGTCAAGAATGCTAGTTTCCACTGCCAATTTGTCAACAGGCTAGTTATATGGCCTTAGACAAGTAATTTAAGTGATCATTGTTTTAGCCTTAGTTTTCTCAGCTACAAAAGAACCAAACTAAACTTGGTCCTTCATATTTTATGAATAAAGAAGCTAATTTTAAAATTATCAAATATTCTAACAATGAGATATGCTAAAAAAAACTAAGTCTTTTGGCCTCCCAAAAGTACAACAAATTGCCAATTTCAAATGAGAGAATTCATAGAAATTTCACTGAAAAATCTTATAGCATTCACTGATTATAATATTTGGGGGTAACTCTAGGAAAGGCTAACATAAGGTTATGGAAGTATAAAAGACAAATTCATTGAAGAATAGCAAATATTCTGATTATTTTGGAAGGAAGAGTCAAGAAGAGTAGAGAAACATCAAATTAACAAAGTAGAGTAGGAGCACATTATTAAGACCAATAGAAGCTAAAAATATAATGGTTCCTGATTGTCTACAAGAATGCAGAAGGCTTTCAAACATATTACCTTGTCAGATCTAAATTAAAGAAGAGTTAATACTGACATCATTTTGGAGAAGAATAAAAAGAAAGAATGAGTGATGTTAAGAGACAACTGTAATGACAGCTACACAAAGCAAGAAAGTAAGGGAGTGGTAAGGAATGGAGGACAGGTATGATCACACAGGAGAGCTGCTGGGTAAATCATTCCACCTGATGGAAAGAGGAAAAGCATAGTAAAATCTGGTAAAAGCCGAGATTTCTGTATTTTCTTGAGAAGATGACACTGTCAACTGGCATAGGGATCCCAACAGCAAAAAGCAGTTTAAGAAATAGAATGAGTTTTGATCTAGACAGAGTTGATTTGTAGGACTTTTGAGAGATTTCAATCTGCAAGTATCCAGAAAGCTGCTGATAAAAAGCTGTCACCCCTGTGGTGACAGCCTTTGTATTACTCATGAAGGAAGGCAGCCCTTATAACTGAAGACTTCAATAGTTGTACGAGAGGAAAACAATGTTGGACTCAAAAAGTTCTTGAAGATATACCTGTCAACTTACAAATCAAAATAGTACAAAAAACGAATCTACTTAGTATTTATTACAGAGTCTAACATATAGTGCTATTCGTCAGACAGTATTATTGAAAGCCTGTTATCGGTGATATTGCAACAGGGTAGCAGGAATATAGAAATGAAGTGGAAGACATTCTATCCAGGTTTTAAAGAGGTCAAAGTCTAGTGCTACTGATGGGGCAAGGAAACATAGAATAAGTTCAATAAAACATGGTAAAAAATGAAAAGTCTAGAAAGAAGAGAGAGAACACAAGATATCATTACAAACTTCCTGGAAAAAGATTCTTAAGCTAATGAACAAAAAAGACTAAAGCAGACAATCTCAACATTTTTACCCCCTGAAATGAAGTACAAACCATCACCTATTTACTGTTCATACCAATGTGGTTGAATCTTTATCGGAGCAGAAGGAAACTATACAAAATGGTGAGTAACCACTAGAGATTCACGCTGCTGCCAGTTTTTATAGTTTTCTGGAACACAGTCTCATATTGTCTATGGCTGCTTTCCTAATGAAACAGTAGAACTAGTAGTTGTCAGAGAGACCATATAGCTAACAAGCTTAAAATATCTGCTACCTGGTCCTTCACAAAAAAACTTGTTTTTGCTATATAAAACCACTCCTAGTCATACCTACCAAAAAGCTTTTAACAAATGTTTTACACATAAGGGTCTGTTTATGACAGACAAAAGAGACATAACAAGTATAATGCATGAACTTTGATTAGCTCAAGGGAAGAAAAAAAGGCCAAAACAGGTATTTACTTTAAAATATTTACAAGTTGAGTGATATCAAGATATTTTAAAAATTAATGTTCTTAAGTGTGCTGATAGTATTGTGGCAATGTAAGAGAATATCCTTATTGTGAAGCCACACATGCCGGGTTATTTAGGATTACAAGTCTACAACTTAACTGCAACAATTGGTGGAGAAGGGAGAAACAGATCCACATATATGCATATTTTCATACTTGTACATATATGTTTATGTGTAGAGATAATTTTTTAACTGTCTAGAAAGTTAAGGGGAAAAATAGGATAAAATATTAATTAGAGTATAAGTGAAAGATACCCAGATATTTGTCATTTATTCTCTTAAACTTTTCTGTTTATTTATAAATTTCATACTAAGAAAAATCTAGAATAAAAATCAAGTTAGCCATGCACAGCAAGATTAAGAGAGTTAAGAAACAGCCAGAGAGAAAACTGAACAAGTGCAGATTTGAGGTCCCTTTTAATTTTATTATCACTCACAAGAAGTCTATTGAAATGACTGAATTATCAAGCATTTTAAATGCCCCCTTGCCCCAAACAATTAAAAAATCATTCATTTCTCTTTCCTGATCAAGTTTTAAACAGTTATGTATTCACAGATGTCCTAACAGGGAGAGTAAGTACAGTATATAGTTTGTGTGTGTGGATATATAATCACAAAATAATATTTAAAATAAATTCTATAAACCTAGATTTTTAAAGTTAATGAGACCTGACCCATTATAAAAACCTAAATTATAAGTCACTCACGTTGCATTACTGAATCCAACATACTCATTACCGGCCATCTTATTCAAAAATTGCATTACCTAAAGTGAAAATTAAAATTAGAAAACATTATGAAAAAGCAAAAACTTATTAGAAAAATAAGCCATGAAAATAGAATTCTATATTGTACTTACGTAGTCAAATTTTTCAGCATTATTCACTCCTTGCTGCAATGAAATGAGACATAAAATATCTTAAGTTAGAAACTTAAGATAGTTAAGTTTTGAGTGATAATCAAAATTTCATACTATCATCATAATCAATATGCTGTGCATTAGTACTTTTAAATCTAAGAAATATCACTAAAATAACTTAATGTTTTCATAAAGATTTCACAAGTTCTTTTACTAATACCCATATGTTGAGAATGGATCTGAGTAACAAAGGGAATGCTTTATTTTAAGTGTATCTTTACCCCACCCAAAGTTAAAGAATTTTAAAACTAAGTTGTCCCACAATATAAGTTATCTTTCACAACATACAATCTGCTAGAATGTATTTTAACTTGATTTCATGTTTGAAAAAACTTAAAATAAAGTTTCACCCTTAGAAAAGAATTAAGTAAATTAAATTATGGTTTTCAATTAAGAACAGTATACTTATTTTTTATAAATAATCTTAAGCCAGTAAGAGTTAGAAAAATGAGTTATATTGCAAAACTAGTGTAATTCTAGTATATGCAAACATTCTGAATAAATTTTACTATTGTAGAGAAAGCTCTACCTAAATTATCACACTTGTTATTAATAATACTTGACCTAAAAAATATTTTCCATAATCTAAAAAACTAGCATTATGCCAATTCAGTTATGAAAGATGTATTGTTTCATCTCTATTTCTGACATTAGCTACTGCAAATGTTAATAGGAAAAACCTATGTAACGTAGATCAGTTCAAGTAGCCAAATGGTTTCATTTTACCTCGGCGAAGTTTACAAAGCAGTAAGCTGTAGATCTGAAATCAAACGTATTAATTGGTGATATGCACCCAATAGAAACAATACATCTCTAATTTTAAAACAAGTTTAAAATAAAATAATTTGACAACTAAAGTTTCCAAAATGAAATTTTTAAGCTATATAAAAAAATCCAAACATTACACTTTAAAATTTTATTATGGACGGACACCTATACTAGAGTATTATTTTAATGAATAAAGCCAGGTTCTTTCTCCACCTTACAAGTGGAGTAGGATGTGGCTAATATTCTGTGAAATATTACAAATCAATTTACTTGAGAAAGAAAGCACAATCACATATACAATCAATAGCTGGAAAGAAAATCACACTATTCCATCAAAACTAGGAATTAATGTTTAGAAGAGGTAAGGATAATTTCGCTACAGCCATATTATGCTCCCTAGCTATGTATTTTCTCTAAATTAGCCTCCAATATATTTTAAGTTTTCTTTCCTTATCATACACCAGAAATCAAAATGTAGAAATGTAACTCCAAAACTGTTCAATGAAAAATAATTAAAAGAAGAAATTACCAACTTCATTGAACTGTTGCAGTTGTCAAAATATTCCATAGATCCTAATGCTGTAAAATATGTAACAACATTTAAACCACAAAAACCTTTTTTAACTTTTGAAAAAGCACAAAAAACAAAAAAAAAAAAACAACTCTTTTTGGAGAAAGATGTCAGCATTTGCATTGGGATGTCACATGGATAAATACTGGTAATACAATTATGCGATGTAAACTTTCGCTATTGAGACCTAAACTGTGCCCTAAAAAAGCTAATACAAAGTTTCTTCATTTAGCTGGGATTTCATAATTACTTTAAAAACCTTTATCAATTTAGACTGGGGTCCACAGTTGGTCTTCTCTGTGGCTCATTAAAGTACAAATTAAGCCTTACTTTCATGTTATTTTTAAGAATGAAAGTGTATTTACCAATGTTTATCATTAACATCATTTTGGATAAGCTACTTGAAAGTACTAGGCAAATTATGTAAATATGTGAAATAAAATATAATTATATTGATTATAATGAATCCCGAAAGTATCTCCCAAACTTGATTAATGTTTGTTCTTCTTACCTACTCCGGCAATAGCATTTAAGTTTAATCAGTAAAATATATTTTCCCCTTGGAAAGATTTCATGTACTTTAGGGCAATAGTACCTAACCATAAGCATTATAAAATGTCTTACTATTTTAATTTTGAAAAATATCACAGTATAAAGTTTATTTGCAAAGATGTTAGGGGAAAAAATACATATACAAAACTAACCCCCCACCTCCCAAAACCAAAAACACAAGCTAAAAATTCCATCACTTTTATCCAATAATGGATACAGAGAGGTGGAGGAACAGATGACAAAGATCAGAGCCCAGAACGAGTATGTGGGGCTGGTTATACTGTTGTGTAGCTTGTGTATGTTTGAAACTTTTTACAATAAAAAGTTAAGGAAAAATGGTTATTTGCTAATAATTTCTCATTCTAACAAAATTTTCCTTTGTAATATTTTCCTTTCCCATTGAAATAATGTATTTTTAGTTCAAATAATGTATTTTTTCTGTTGCTAGAACTAGGCTTTAGTTCTTTTGCTATTTTACTTTTTACGGATACTAAGTAGAGAAGTCTAGGTGACAACAGATGACTTAATGGAAATAGAAAAGGTTTTGTCATAGCAATGCCACTTAGTTCTTTACACATCTGCCTCATTTTATACAAAAGTCACATAGTAATTCTCAAAAAATCACATTCAACGTTCTTATTAACTAACAAGTTGATTAGATCCTCTTTGCTTTCTGTTGAAAACAAGGCACTGTAAAAATCTGGTATACAAGAGGACTGATTCTTAATGGTTGTAGTGATTCATATCCTCAAAAACATTGACTCCAATACTTTCAAATATTCATTTTCCTTGAAGCCTAAACGGTTTTTACAAACTGAAACAGAGCATCACAGTAAAATTTGGGGCATCTGAACTAAGTCTTTCTTTTGGGAAATGTGAGGAAAACTGAACTAAAAGCAGATATGTTTTAAGAAAATCACATATGAAAACAGATTTGGAAACTGATAGTCTTAAAATGTTCAATGCCCTTTTATATTTTGGGGAAAAATTACTGAACCCAGGGTTAAGTTTATCCCAGTTTTAAGATCACAGCCCAAACATTTATTTGTGTTATTTTAAGCTGGAAAAAAAGTTATAGTAATTTGTAATAAAGATGTAATAGGGCAACTGAAAAAAAAACTGGGTAAAATATATTTACCAAAACTTCTAATCTAGTACCACATAACTTTTAAAAAGGAAACCAGGTGACTTGTTTTAAAAGACTGGCAATCATATATTATGCCACAATGTCATACAAATTTATTTTTCTGTAAACATACCATATCAAGTTAAAGAATTTACAGTCCTTTGAAGAAAACTTTAAGAAAATTTGATAAAGAGGTACTGAGTTTTAACACTGGCTACTAAAAATATGTATTTATATTGGATTTAATGGTCTGATTCCAAAACATGTTTATGAATTGAATCATGTATTATACATTACAACACAGATAAATATACCACCATTACTATGGACATCGGACATCTGCCAATACATTTAATATAAAAATCACTCATTTAAAGTCAATGCCTTAAATAGTTATTTTGTAAGTAAATCACTTGATTTTACTCATAAATAATACAGATGTAAAAGCCAACTAAAAATAAATGAAAAATTAGTTTTAGGAAAGAGGCATACAAAAGGCAAAAGAGGTAACTGAAAATGACTGTATAGTTCAATTTTGCCACAGAGAGTGCTTTAAAACTAAACAATATTTGGATTAAAATACAGATCTTACAGGTAAAAAAAATAGTGTTCTAAGTGTATTACTTTCAAGATTAAAACTAAAAATAGAACAGTGAACTCTGGCAATAAATCAACTACCATTTATTAAAAAACCTCAAATACATTAATTAAATAACATTACTGTAATAATTCATCCACTCCTGTTTTATGAATGCTGTAAGTCTAAGACATTACCTATTGTTCTCCAGAGCCACAGACTACTTTCAAAATACAGCATATAAACAAATCTCATTTCTAACATAACCAAAGTGAGCTTTACATACATATTAACTAAATTTTGTATTATTCTCATGGAATATGATTGTTTCTTTACCAAAAAAAAAAAAAAAAAAGCGAAAACACACTCCAATCTTGTAAATTCAAAACTACTTCTGATTAAAAAAAAACTTTGAGCTTCTTCAAATAACAAATCCTGGAAAACACTATTAGAATATAGAAAGACATAAGCATAGGAGACAATGTAACTTAACTTTTACCTTTAAAATAAAACAGTAGAACTGTGGCAATTATTTTGTGATACGTTGTCTTCATTTTCCCACCCAAACCCTTGCATTATCGGTAGACCTTAACTTTTAAAATGAAACTCAGTTAAATTTTTACCACTAGGAAGAAAAAAATGTGCATTAGGACAATGCTGTTTCATCCATAGTTACTCTGATTCTTCCCAAAAAAATTTTTCCCTTTAAATCAAGCAACCACATTATCATCATTCAAGTAAAACCAACTGCATCCAAAAGTATTCCTTTAAATTTAGTAGCTACCACAGAGAAAAAGTATACCTTATGGTTTTTTTTAATTATGTGCATTTTAATGACAAAATGACATTTGTTTTTATGAAGGTATTTACCTATATAGCTTTGCTTAAAATTTTAAATATTGGAGTTTTCCTATAAGTTTAGTAGTTAAGAATTTATGCAACAGGTTCCTTCTGTGCAAATCCTCCTTTTTCCACAATCTGCTAATCCTTTTGAACATTTGCTCTGCCTCTTCCCCCATTTCCTGAGGATCACCACCAATCCTACAAGGAAAAAATATCAATACTACAAAATTATGATATAAAGAGTCTTACTAAAGACTCTACTTAATTATTTTGTGTGGAGGGAGGGGTGGGAGGGGAGTAACATAAGGACAGTGTTTATATAGCACCATAACAAAGTCTTGAATTTTGAAAGAAAAAAAATAACCTCTAGGTCATTAACTAAAAAAGGTAAAAGACAGAATTTACACCCAATAGCCATGGTAAACTATCTATGTTTTTGGTACTCAAGTGCAAGTTCACTGAGAAGAGGGCTAGAGATTTACAGATAGCAGGCACTACCTTATGTCCACAGATTGACTATTCACAACCACTGAAAATCAGATGTGATTTTAACGCCAATAAGCAAGTTATCTTTTGTACAAGTTAAAGAAAATAAAAGGACTGCTTTTTGGACCACAGAACAATGCCATGTAAAATCAAAGATGTCATCAAGAGCAACAGCAGACATCCCATTAAATAGGGTAGAGTGAATGCTAATGAGCCACAAGCAGACAATAAGGAGATTCACCTCCAGCCCTATTTTATTACTTTATGACCTCCCCAGTATCTTCCTCATCTCCTCTACTAAATAAAGCATGAGGGCTAGATTTGAAGACCTAGAGTTGAAGATCTTTTCAAATTATGGGTTTTTTAACTGGGACAGTTTTAAACAGTGGTATATCATGCTTACTTCTCTCCAAGACTTAGATGAACTTCATTACAACAAAACAAAACTTGTGAAACTACCTTCTAAATACAAAAAAAAAAAAAAAAAATTCAAAGAAAGTTACCTTAAATACGAACCATACTCCAAACCTTGATTTCTAACTTCCAATAAATTTAAAGTTTTTTATAAATTTTAAATCACTGATCAAATTTGTAAATATAAGATGACTCAGTTCAATTTTTGTACTGCTGGACACTAAACCACACTTATGGATGTTTCTTTAAACTTTTTTGTGTTCATACTAATGCGACTCAATGTACATCTTATGATTTGTGACTGAACACAGTAAGTGAAACTAATGAAGTGATGGTGTGATATGAACAGACATGTATTTCCCACATGCAGTGTTTCATATTATGTATTAAACCAATGAATCATTAAACAAACATGTTTAGCTGCATGAAGTGAAGGAAGGCTTCTCTATTAATCATTTACCTATGCATGGCCCTTTCTTGAAAACACCAGTGGCATACTATGTTAATCTTTCCACAGTGGTAAGAGTTCTCAAACTAAAATACATGGATCAACTTCAAAAGGTCTAGACTAACTCCCTAGTGTTTACACAAAGTCATGGTATATGAACATTTTCCTGGGAAGACCCAAAAATGGTTCAGAGTCATTATATTCAAGCACTAACACATACATTGTATTATTGCTTTTCCCCTAACTTCTAATTTAAGTCATTTTCTTACTGAACAATTACTAATGAGATTTTTCTCTAATCATAGCTTTTATGGAATATTATTGTAAGGACCCATCTTCTGTAAACCCCACACTACATTAAATCAGATTATGCCTACCACATGTTCATATTAGAATTTTCTACAATAAACAAATGGCTTCTTTTACCTAAAACTGACAACTTTTCTCTTGTGGAAAAAACAATCATGGAAAACTGGATGCTAGAATGGATAAAATGAAAACTTTCATAGCCTATTAAAAATATTTGATTATAATAATATCTACCTCATTGGAATTACAATGATTAAGAGGGTCAATGCCATCTGAAGCATTTGCCCTAAAATAACAACTAAAAATATATTCTTAAACTAACCTTCCTCTCATAAACATATAAAATTTATGAAAGTAAAGAGGATTTCTAATATACAAATTAGATGAAATATTATTAACGGGGTCAAAGGCATAAATTTGTATTCAAACATTCTTTGCATACCCAAGGTTTCCCATCCTCAGAAATACCACAAAGTCATGTAATCATGTTTTTTCCAATCTTAAATTAGATAATCACAGATTTACTGAAGAAAATTATAAACGTTTCACATATAAATGAAATCTATAATTGGAAATTATAAATCTAAACAGTATCACACAACAGAATTATTTTTAAATATTATTTCAAAATATTAGTGTTTCCAATTATTAAGGCAAACAAAAAACAAAAACATACAATGCAAACCAAAATATAAGAAAAATAAAAAACTTAATAATTGGAATAAGCCTTAATTTACTTATGATATGACTCAAGTAAAACAAATGAAAAAAGTTCAAATGAAAATTGTGATTACAGCTTATGAGAATTTAAAGACTTGAGACTACTTAACGGTAAATGTACTATGTCTTAACACTAAGTACCAGGACACTTTTTCTTACATGTACTGGTAACAAAATTTAACAGTAAAAAAGCTTTTAATTATTCTACACCTGTTCATTCTAAAAGAGTCAAAAGGAAGAAAAAGAAAGAAAAATAGCTTGTGAAAAAAAAATTTTGTGCCTATTGTTCAGCAGCAGACACATCTTTTCAATTTTTGCCAGATCTTCAGGTCAAGAGTAACGGTTAGAATTTAAAATGAGTCATCTGTTTTTAATTCTGTCCTTGAAATCACATTATTTGTCTTGAAATAAAAAATCTCCTAACCTTATAACATAGGATTTACTTTCTTTTAAACACCAAAGAAACTTTTTCACACTTAGAAATAACCCAAGACTCATAACCGTGCCTTAACCATTAAAAAAAATTTACTAGGATAAAAGGAAATGTCAACATTTTACCTTTATTAATGAAGTCACAACAATTGCTCCAGCATTTACCATAGGGTTGTGTGGCTTATCTGTAAAATAAAAAAGCAACAGCATTATTCTAAATATGTGACCATTTTGTAACAAGTATGTACTTTCCATGAACATATTATCTATATTTTTTATGTCAGTCTTTGTTACAGTCCTATTTTGAGAGGCAGAGGGATGTTAGGGGTAGAGAAACACATTTAAGATTTTATATATCAAACCATGATACATGTCTAGTAAGTGTACTATACTATCTTAATTATAAAGATTCATGTACACAAAGATAGTGCACACTGGTGGCAGAGCTTCCTAACTGCCACTGACTAGCTATTTGACAAAAGAAATTAAAAAAAAAAAAAGATACACATAAATATGTGTACACAAGTGTTCACAACAACATTAAAGTAAAAACTTAAATTTGCTGTCCGTTAATGAAGGAACAAACCAAATAGTGGTACTACTGGACTAAAATGGAATACTACTCAGCAGTAAAAAGTACTAATATATGCCACAAGGTGCAAGCACCTTAAAAATGTTATACATTTGAAGAGCTACAAACCTGTACTCCTAAAACAATGTCCTGACATTACCCAAATAAAAGAAAAATGTCAGTCATAAAAAAACAATGGTGTGATTTATATGGAATGTTCAAAACAGGCAAACCAATAGATATAGGAAGTCGATTTCTAACTACTAAGGATGCAGAAGAAATGTAAATTGCCTATAAATGGCATAAAGGCAGTTTGGGGGGTGATAAAGTGTCCTAAAATTGGCTGATGATCAATTTTATGAATATACTCAGTTACAGTGTACAATTCTATGAATGCAGTCAATAAACAATGAACCTTGAATGGGTAAATTATATGGCATGTGAATTATATCTCAATAAAGCAGTTAGCTTTTTCGACAAAATTGGGTAAACTTAGTGTCTAATTAGTTTTTCCTCAATATAAAATTAACAATGTGATTTAGTTATGCTTTGAATAGTGTACATTTGGGGTTACCCAGGATAATGACAAATTCAAAAGTTAAAATAAATCTTGGGGCTATAGTTAAGTATTACAACTAAGATTTCACCTAAATGATGCTAAGAGATGTTTGATTTCTCTGAGATCACACGAAATCAGAATAACTGCTATCACAGAAAAATGCTCCCTGGCAAGAGAGTCAAGTAACATGACTTGAGGTTGTAGGGCATAAGGAAGCAGCCAATATGTATATTCCAAATGGTGCAGAAAAATGTGGTAATTTTTTTTTCTAAAACATCTAAATATTCTGCAAATTCTACACTAGGTACATTCAAGATCTTTCAAAGAACACAAAAACATTTCATAGCATGACAGCACAATTTTAAGATGTAACCAACTGCTCTGCCTTTGGCTCAAAAAATCAGACATCTGAACATTTGAAAATACATCAGATATTAGTAACAACACCAGCAGTACAAAATCTCAGTCTAAAAGCCTTTGATTTTTAAATATTCATTTTCCAGCTCTCCATAGATAAAAAGGGGCATTCCAACAGTTTAATGTATAATTCCTAGTTAAAAAATATCTTAAACAGCAGAAATAACATTTAAGCAAATTACTAAAGGCTGTTAAAGGTTACATGTTTGTTTGTTTGCTTGGTATAATGTCAAAATGAACCCAGCCACACCTGAAATTTATGAGCATGTTTTTTTAACTACAATGCAAGGCTGGTTAATTTGAAAAAGTATTTATTCTCTCCAAGGCAGTAAGTACATAATTATACTAGAAAAAGTTTTCAAATTACTAAGCATATGAGCCTTACCAAGTATGTGGCTCACAACTGAGGCTAAGTCAAAGTCTGCCAATTCATATACTAAAGAATAAAAAATGTACTAATATTCAGTTGAATTTAGATATTTATATTTCAGGTATTATACTAGAATTTTACAGGCTACACAAAAAATTAAAGAAGTAAAGAAACCTAGTTATCTCACACTACATATGATTTAATCCTTCAGTGCCCCTGTATTCAACCACCTTAACTTTGTTCTTTCTAAACAATTTGGTGATCCTTCCTTCAATAAATTAATTGATATCTTCTACCTCCATCTACTTACATATATAAAACCAGTGTGTTGTGTGTGTAGGCTTTTGTCAATTATAAGGTAAGGTAACATAATCAGCTGGAGACATGCTAGTTTGTCTTCTTTCTCCATGTATTCGAGGTATGCAATTGTTTTCTGTATTCTTTACTTAGCTAGATAAAATACTTCAAAAACCAAGCTCCATTCATGTATCCTACACTGCTCTTAACAATATAGAAGATACAAAATACACGTTAATTAACCTAATCTCTACAAAAAGGTAGGGAAAAAAACTTCACTAGGAAATGGTGAATTCCAAAGTTGACAATTCTATCAAGTAACTTATTTCCTCATTTATAATGATAGGTAGTATTACCAACTCCTCCACCATAGGACCAAATTTTTTGCATTTTTAAGCATTCTAAAACAATCGTTAAGAATAACTACTATAACTTTTTCATGAAAATCACATAATCACAATTTATAATCACCACCTGAAAAAGCTAGGACAATGGTAGTAATTTTTTAATTTTGTAAAATACAGATGGACAGATACATACAGGAGGTGTATAGTTTCATCATAATCTACCCTTCAAATTTAAAATATGAAAAAGATCTATAAATTGGTTTCACTGGGATGTTAGTCTTTAAAACCAAGGCTCCAGAGCATAGAACCTATTCATAACTTAGGGAGATGTGGGATACTGACACTTTCGTTTCCCATTACTTCTTGGCATTGGCTCAGATTTGATAAAAATCGAAGAACATAAAAGCAAAACCTCTTGTTAAAACTTTGTTTTTCGTTTATTATAAACCAGAGCTAAATTCCAGAGTTATTTTTCTTCTGGTGTCAATAAATTTTAATTTTAAAATGATATTTTACATGATGAAAAAAAAATGTATTATTTACATGTAGTTCATTTACCACAGCCCTATTATTTTTATTTCTGAGATACTTATTCACATTCAAATTCCTACATTTAATTTCTATCCTTTAATACCCCTTTCAAAATCAATCAAACAGAAACCACCTATATTATTCTATATACTTCATCTTAATTAGGAAAATAATTTTTCTTATAAGATGTTGAGTTATTGTTTGAATAAAAATACTTTCCATACTGACTCTAGATGTCAGGGAGTCTATAATAAATAAGCTATTTTTGCACAGTATTCTTACTGAGTTGGTAGTAACAAATTCTTAAAAATCCATAAAATCAAATACTGCACTAGGTTGCAAGATTATGGTAAGATAAGAAAATGCAATTGTTCTCAAAACAGGAAGAAAAGCTAAGGACTATCAGTTTGTTTAACTTCATTAAGAAAAACAATGAATAAGGTATATTTCATTTCTTTATCCAGCAGGGGGAAAAAAGCGTTATTTCTCACAAACATTACTATAACCACCTAATTCCTCACTCCTGCATTTTCAATTCTGTCTCACTTCATCACACAATGAGCAATCTAGCAATGCTCAAAAGATCTGGTAAGAAGAAACCAATCCACAGGTTGGGTCTTTAGATTTAAAACCTTCATCAGATCAAAAGTTCTACTTTTACTTCTATTTTCCTTTGAATTCCTATTAAGTATTAAAATTTCCTAATTATCCAACTACCTAACAGATTTCTTTCAAGTATTAAATGTTCTGATAGAAAAAAAGGAGGTACACTCACTACTTTACAACCAAGACCACTATGAAACTTTTTATGGACGTTTTCAAATAAGTATCATACATAATGTGGAAAGAAAAGACTACAAACACCACATGGCCACTGTTCAATTGTAGTAACTAAGAGCAAAGAGTAATAATCACACCCAGCACTCCACATACATCCCACTCCACTGAATTACTATAAGGGAAATTCCAGATACATGATATTTTACCACAGGATATTCCCCAACAGGCGATTAAAGGTGAAAAAATCGTACTCCCTTCCACCATCCTTTATGTAGCTCATTTCCCCATGGTATGAGATACCTAAAACAAGCATTTTTAAAAGTCAGTAATTAAACTATCTCTAGGGGTTTCACAGAAATCCCATGACAAAAAGTATGAATGCTTTTACTTTGCTTCAAAACTTTTTTTAAAAAACTACTTAAGACTTACATAGGAAAATGAGGTCTTTTTCCAATCAACTTTTAAGTAATTCTTACCGTCTTCATTTAAAAACAGTTTGTTGAATCTTAATCCACTTGGCTCCTTCCCAACATAGCGATGCACATACTCTGTTCCAAGATCATTGACAGCAATGGCATACTTCAAAGGTTTTACACAGGACTGAAGACAAAATGGAACTTTGGTATCTCCAATGGAATGCCTATTTTTAAGCAGATTTTAAAAGTTATTACAATAATCCGGAAAAAAATACTGTGTAATTGGAGTTGCATGTGTTAATTTTAATATATACACAAAGGCTTTCCCATAGCTCAATTACATGTTAACTTGCAGGTTAAAGAACAAATATGTATATGTTTATTTTAAGAGTAATTCTAAATAAGGAGAGGACAAAAGCTGGTAAGTATTCAGGTAACACCAGGGTTCAAAAGTAAATTATAATTAAGTGATGTGAAAATCGGCTCTGAGGCAAGGGGTATGGCCTCCACACTATATCCAATTACATAAGAGAAGCTAGTTTCTCTGGAAATTAGTCATCATTTTTTTACTCAGTGCTTTATTCAAGGTGAAAGAGTGGTTAAAAGGAGCTCAGTTGAGATTCAATAATCTCAAGATCTTATCTTTAAATATTCTATTTTGTGATCTGTATCTACTCACAATTTTAGCCCCATTAAGAGAAATCGCATCCTTCTCTATAAAAGTGATGGAACCTGCACTAAAGTTACAATGGGTGGTCATTAGCACTATGTAAAGCAAATACGTTAAGGAAAAGGAAGGTTCATATATTACTAACCTGGATGCATATGAAAGAGAGAACAGGTTTCAAAATGAAAATAATTCTGTCTAAATTGAGTAAAACTTTTAAGTTTCACCAAAGGCAGAGATCATCGTTTTATTTGCTGAAATAGCCTAAGTGCCCCAGCAAGTTTCAACTCATTCAGAGTGAAACTAGGCACTAATAACTACCCCCAGGAAAAATAGTTAATGGAGAAGTCAAAAGGCAAAAGTACATTATAGAATATAGTAATTAATATAACATAACATAATATAACATGATATACAGCAAAAGCAATTTTTTTTTCTTACCAAATTTATGAAGTATTTCTAATTCTAGCCATAACTGCAACTTGATAATCATTCTAAAGCCTGACAACAGCCTATCTTATTACTTTTGGATTTAAAAGTACATGAATAAGTCACTTAGGAAGAATGCTGTAGATCAAAATTTAATAATGGGAGATTTTTAATTGAGACATTAGCTTGAAAAATAAAGCATAAAATTACAAGGCTACATTGACACTATCATAACAACGTTAAGGTAAAATTAAATCTCTGATATGATTTCATCAAGATGTATTCTCTAAGGAACTGCATATTGTTTTATGTAAGTTATATTGTAATCAAGAGGTAAACAACTTAGTAAAAACCATTAAAAAACAAATTATACCTCTAAGTTGTCTAAGCAGACCAGTACATTTTTCTTTTCCAGCAAAGAAATCCCACATTACATGATAAAAAAAAAAAAAACTCCGTGGAGCATAAAATAGGCATTCTTGAAAAATATTCCAGAACTTTATCCATTTTACCAAAAGCTGCTCTAAATTGATTTTTAAAATAAAATTATTCTCTTTGAAGTGCCCTCACATCATTATCCTGTTCTTAATTCTACTAGATTGTTTTCATGGATTTAAAGAAGTCCTGCATGTTTTGCAAATAACTTTCACTTTTCAAATGACTGATCTTCCTAGTTAATTACATCAAAAGTGTGGGGAGCAAAAATAATGACAGAATCAATTACCACGGTAGACCTGAGAAATGGGAACTGATTTTACTAGGTCAATTCCTGTAAGTTCACATTTTGCTAATGTACTTTTCTAAGTAAATTTGTATCTGCAGGTACTTAAAAATATTTAAACAATAAAAGTACAACTGTGAACATAGATGAAATGCCTCTTACAATTTACATGGTCATTATTTCAATTGAGATTGTTTTTAACTCCTATTTCACTTAAAAAAAAAAAAAGATTTATTTATGCATACAGAATGGGGATATAAGTCAGAGATGCAGGGGCAGTGAGAGGACTCACCAGAGAGAGTGGGGAGCAGAACAGGCAGATCAACAAAGGACAATTCTGAGAGCAGCTGGCAGGTCAGGAGAGGTCTGCCATGCCATGTGGGCCACCTCCCGGCAGGGGATCAAACTCGCACTCAAATGTCTGCAGCTAGCTTATAATGCTGCATCCAAAACCACTGCAACACCACGGAGGGACCTCAGTTGAGATTTTTAAAACTATATTTAAAACCAAATTAATTTACCTTCTTGGACTTATGTCAATAAATTTGTACTAGTTTCCATTATAGAAGATGTTCTTCTCTTAATTCATGCTGTTAAGCAAAATTTAAGGCTTAGAATTGATTTTCATGCATTTCAAGTAAACTTACCTCTGTCCATCTACTGTACAAACAGATACACCCCATAAATCGGGACTGAACTTGGCCAGTTGAGGAATATAATCTGCAACCTATCCAAAACATTGGAAAGAAATTAATATATAAGCAAATAGCATTTTCTTCTACCAAAAAATTTTTATCAGTTTCACTTCTACCAAACTGGCTTTGTACTATAACTTGTAATTAATAATACTCATTAAAACTAAGTTTCTAACAGACTTCAAGATTACAAGTGAGATCTAAGTGACTTCTGTTTATTCCACCCCCTGTGTTTATTCCCATGTTGCTCCTTGTAAATGAGTATAAAAGGGAAGTAAGATTTGATTTTGTTTTAAAGGGAAAGAAATAAAGAACTTCTTTAATTAGGGTCATGTTGGCAGGTTTTCACGTTTAACTTCCATGAAGAAATAAAATACCCTTTATTATTATTACTTGGGGAATTTCTTAAGACAATTAATATTTAATGATCAAAAATATTCTACCTACATAAGTTCCCAATAAAATTATTTTGTTAAGATTTAAAAGTTATCTCAATCACTTGAAAAGTCAAAATAATTCTTAAGACTCTTTTTAGCCCAAATTACAATTAAATGTTTAAAACATTTAGAAGTATTTAATCCAGTGGCTTAAATTTCATAATTAGCAAAACACAAAACAATCACACAGTTTTACCCTCTGTATCTCAATTTGAGCTAAATTTATTAAGGAAAATATTCATATCAAAAATGTTTACCTTTCCTCCAGACTGCTTTTTAGCACTTTCATATAACTCATCAATGTGTGAGGTGAAAGACATAAAGTCAGGAATCACAAACTTTCTTCTAAATGCTTGGGTCAACAAAACAATGTTGCTTTGAACACATCTGTGGAATGTGAGAAAAAAATTAGTAGACCAGGTGCTTACCAAAGACTGGTACACACTAACAATACTACTTAAGAAAATGTTTAAACAATAGAGAAATTCACTCTGTGCAACAAACTGATCTTTATAAATTACATTCTAACTTATTTTCTTTGTTTCAAGCAGTCTTTCATGCAGTTGCTTGCAAACTGTTGACCAAGCTAAAGAACACAATAAGGTACACCTAAAATTGTGTCAAAAATTAAAACAGCAGTGTATCCACCAGGTTAGGTACCAAAATCATCTAAAAACAAATGTGTTGACCTTCCAATGTGAAGAGTTCCACACAACATTTAAAATGTCAGACTTTAAATATGTCATAGTTGAGACTTGTGAATCTTATCAAATAACTTCAAATATATATCTCTTACCTTCTAAGTATTTCACCAAAAAATTTAACATTTTATATTTTAATGGATTTTTTCTTCCGAAACTACTTTAGAAAAATTTACATTTGTACCTTAAAAAGATGGAGGTAAAAATCACTTCTGTCTCTTAAATGAAATTACTTGTTAAAATACTTGTAAAAAGAATGCGATTTTAATAAAATTCAATATAAAGTAGTATAATAATTTTCTATTATTTGAAGCATTAAAATGCTAAATTTCATTGTCCTATTTACTGTAAAATATGCATACCTTGTAAAATAAAAAAAGCAAGGTAAACATGTATGTAAGATAACATGAAATACAATGATTTGAACCAATCTTCTGCTTTATTCTAAAAAGGATTTAAGGCAAAAAAAATCAATATATTAAGGTACTTTTAAAGGCAAGTTTTGTAAGTAGGTAGTAGTTTAGATTATATGGAGGTAAAACTCGCTTCTCTCTTAAATATAATATAAACTCATCTTTTAAAGAAAGATTGACTAATGCAATAATAAAAACTTAAGTAAAAAGTATGATTTGATAGACATTAAGCATCAAGCCATATGGCAATTTCAGGTTAAGTCCTTACTAGACAAAAACCCAAGTGATTATAGTTGAAGTATTAAAGTCAAATCATTCATTAACTATGTAAGCTATTTATGTAACTGGATTCTGCACAGGTTAAATTATACGATACTGTATTAGCAGTGTCTTTTAGGAAGAGGAAAAAACCCAAATAGGCACTATTTTACAAAGTATTAAATCTTAAGTACTACTCATCTTGTTCTAACCCTTAAAATATCAACACTGTAAGAATAACCTCACTGTACAAATTAAGAAACTCTGCAATTTACAAGTTAATAATCTGAACTAATTAGAAATTAGAAATAAAAAAAGTATAGTCTCAGTATTTCTTTAGTTTATGATAATTGGGAAACTTTTTGTATTTACATTCTAACTCAATGTGTCCTAAATGAAACATCAAATTAAAAGCCAGATCTCACATTCTATTAACATTCAATGTGTAAATTCATGAGGAATTAAAAGTCATTCTGATCAACACAAAATACAAACATTGATTGTAAATATTTAGGCTGTTTTTAGTGAAGATACAGTTCAATTACAATATGAAGAAATTATAGTTCTAATTACTAACCTATGGACATAATTTGACATAGACATAACTGACATCCCAGAATAACAACTATTTACTTCAATAAGCTTTGCTAAATTGTTTTTTGCCACTGCTTTCATACTTAATAAGCTTCAAATAGCAATTCAACTTGCATGAGTGTCAAGAAATATGTGCCAACGTATTTCACAGCAAAAAAGACAATTCCTGATTTTGAATGACTATATGTGTAAAATCCTCATTTTTCAATGAATATAAATGAGAAAATATTAAGGCTGCCAAGCAAATTTAAATTATTAACTACTACTAACTAACAATTTAAAATTAATCAGCACTTTTAAGAGGACACTTTATAATTAACAAAATTGTGCAGTCAGTGAAACTGGGTTGTGTTCCCCCCCTCCCAACAAGAAAGTGCTAGAAAAGTGTTAAGTTTTTGCTGATCAATTACTGTGGCCAAGAAAGGCAATCATGCCTCTCAGGAGAGGGGTCTCACTGTATAACGATGAGCATTCCAAAAAGCAGTACTTTTCTTGGGAGTTATACATAACAAGAATCTAAATCACATAAAATCTACTCTGAGGAGGAAGTGCTTATGCTTTCAGCAAGCCACATGGCTTGGTCAGTTTTCTCAGTTGTAAGCTTGGACTTTTTTCTTCCCTTTTTCATTTAAGTGTTCATAATTAACAACTGCAATGCACAGCAATGTGTTATGAAGTATTTCCTATTAACTATTCATTAGCAAAATAACAATGGATACAAACTTTTAAAGAAAAATAAAAAACATATACAAATACACTAACTGCCAATTATTTCCCCCCAAAGACCAGAAAATTATGAACACACTTTTAAAAATAGCTTTAACACATCTTATAGTCAAAAATGCATAAGTAAGGCACTCATTTTCAACTTAAATATCCTACTTCTATTAAAGAATTATTAGAATTAAAAAATTCTTTATCTAGGTGGATACAGGCAGTCTCCAACTTTCAAATAGATTATGCTCCAAAAGGTATACTTAGAACTCACTTTCCCATTTAAAACACAAGTCATATATACAAGTCCAGTTTTTTCTCAGGTTACTCTCAAAGGCTAAATATCTATCTATCTATCTATATATATATTTAACCATATTTTATTTGGTTTAACAATTTACTTTTACTTTAACAAAAATTATCCATCTTTATACATTATTTTCTTTGACTTTAACCAAATCTCTCCATCTTTGTACATTACTCATCTTTGTACATTCTCTAGGAAAATGAATTTCATTGTAAACATCGCCTTCCCCCTTTCAGCTTCCAAGAGAAGATAGCTCATTTCTGGCAACACTAACTAGTTAACTTATTTTGAAAATAGAACTCTAGAGCAATCCCCTTCCCAGGTGACCTAACGAGGTTGACAGTCAAGAGGTTTTGAATCACCTCATAAAGGCCCGTCATGCCCGTCTTGCACATTTCCACAGCCTATGCATATTTACTACTAAGTATGTGTCAAATTAGGAACTGTCTGTATTATAATAATTAAATTTTAAAATAAATCAACTATTTAACAAAATAGTAATTTTTGATATCATGGGTAGAAAACATTATGACTATGTTTCCTGGTATTGTAATCAGTGCATTTACTTTTAATCACATTGAAATATAAATAGCATATCTATAAAGCACAAACAAAAAATCTTAAGCAATACTAAAAGGGTATAATACTGCTTTCATATAAAATTCCAAGGTTTTACTTGTCTTTATTATCAACTGATAAATTCATTCTCAGATATGCTCAGAAAGCATAATCAATACTACTGGGTTGTCAGAAAAATCACGACATTATTTTTTCTTTGAAAACAGAAAAATGCGTCAAGACTTTTCCAACAACTGAACAGTTTGCAAAGTTTGAGAACACTAAAAATAATCTTGACTGCAAAGGCACAGCTAACTAGAAATTGTTTTCTTCTTTCCACAAAGAAAGCAGTCTGATGACTCAAAATTCCTACCCTGATTCCAACATCAATCCATAATCCACACTTTAAGGTCTGCTAAGTTAAAAGGAATCAGGAACATTGTGGTTAAAAAAAAATAGGAATACAAGAAGTTAGCAGTGCTTCACAGCACACCAGGGAATTTTATAGGATCTCGGTTAAATACCTATACCTTCAGATAACTTAATATTGTAGGATATTTCCAGGAGCTATCTAGAACAAATATTCCAAAAAACAACTAACACTACTACATACATACAAATAAATTTTCAATGTGGATCCTAGAATTCTTTGGATCTATCTCAAACCTATTAACCTGTGGTCTAGAAAAAGGCAATGTCTTTGAAATAGTGTTTATACTAGTTTTCCTAAATAAAGTTGTTTAAAATACTAAAAATACTATTTATACTTTGAGATCTATCATAAACATGCTGTCCATACAGATCATTCAGTAATCAGTCTTGATTGAAACACCCTAATGAAGATAAATACTGAATATATATGCGAATAACGTTAAAGTTAAAAATATTCTCATTCAACCAAATCAAGACATCAATCTTCAATGTTGTCCAGTTTTTAAATATTCTGAGATAAATGAAAATAAACAAAAGCCTGTGTTTAAGTCAGCCTGATGAGAAGAGAAAAATACGCAATGGAGATATAAAAATCTAAAAGTAGTTGTCTGAAGCTGTCTCATTTTATGTCATCAAGAAACAGTGCATGCTGAGAGCACCCAAACACATGTATATGAATTGGAGATAAAATTTAAGCCATGATAGGACAAAGTGTGCTCTAAGCACTGAATGCAATTGCCAGGTACTGGGAACTGGAAATATCCATGGCTACATTTTCTTCAGACATTTTAACTGACGTATATTCTTACTTTATTTGTGTATTAGTTTTTCAAACTACTATGCTTATAAATACCCCTCCACCCCTTTTTCTGTTTTCCAGTTGAACAGGAAGCACTGGCCTTCAAAGATGCATTTTTTTTTTTTTTAAATCACCATATAGCATAGCAAATCACCATTAAAGGTTTGGCAGAAATTTTTACTTTTTAAAAAGATCTTTGTCTAGCATGACACCATCTGATGTTGTTTGAAGAGTTAATCTTAACATATCCATACACTCTTTCAACCTGGGATCAGACGTTCGCAATCCTGTAGATTTGAGTGCCTGTTTTTAAAAAAATAAGAATCTGTAAATATATAGTGCAAATAATGTATATGCTTATTCCAACTACACGTTTTTATTCCTGTATATAAAAACTTCTACTCAAAACCTGAATATGTATACGGTATTTGGCATTTCAGTGTCTCTATTACCCACTTTGTGGACAAGTTTCTCATTGTTTCTTTCATGTTCTTTCACTGATTACCTTGAAATGAGCATGATGAAAATTTGAAAACATAGTAAGAGAAACAGTGTCAGTCAGAATCTATGTTATCAAATGACCTTTAAAACTACATTTCAGTATTGTTGTATTATTACTTCAATATACTGATTTTCTAAAATATTAAGGTGGAAAGAAATAAAAACTTACTGTAATAAATTTATGGACAGGTATTCTCTCTTGTCCTTCTGCAATTGTATAGAACAGCAAATCTTCCAAGCTAGGCAACAAACCCTGTTTTATTTTACTAAAGAGGGAGAAAGAAAACAGAATTAATCCTTGTATGGACATTCTCACAGATTTTTTTTTAAAAAGATTTATTTATGTATTCATACTGAACTGGGGTACAGGCCAGAGATGCGGAGGGTAAGAGGATTCACCAGGAACAGAGTGGGGAGCAGAACAGGCAGATCAACGAAGTACACTGCTGAGGGGAGCAGCAGGAAGGCCAGGAGAGGTCTGCCAAGCCATGTGGATCTCCTCCGGGGCAGGCGGGAATCGAACCCATCCGAATTGGCTCAAGCTTCTGAGTGCTGTGCTTTAACCCGCTGCACCACCAGGGAGGGCCCATTCTCACAGATTTTAACTACATTCTAGTGGATTTTACTTATGTTCATTAAAAACAAAGCCAGAATACAGATGCGTTGATCTATGTATCAAGACTACCATGATAAAAAATGCTGATTTATCAAAATCAAAATCACATTACTGTAAGCAAGTAAAAAAACAATTCATTACTGAATACATATACCTTTTAACCTTAGATTTTAAAATCTTGATTACTATCTCCAGTGGTACTAATGCATAAGGCAATCCATTATGGTGTTAACTTCCTGTACAGCCTAATAATAACCTCATACTAAATGTAGACTTCAGCAAATGCTTGCTAGGAGTAGTTACTACTTTAATATGATGACTATACTTGAATATTATTCAAATGTTAACATGATTATAAAATTTGGGGAAGACAATAAGTAAGTAGTAGACAGTAGAGATTAGTGCAAATGCTCTTCAATCCTAGCTGAGCATTCTTGGGTATATTAATTAATCTTTCTGTGATTGATTTTCTCCACTTGAGAAAAGACAGTAGTGCATACCTCACAGTGGGTTGTTGGGAGGGAACCAAATGACTCAATACCTTTTAGAGTACTGCCTGGCAAAGTGATCAGTTAATGATAGTTGCAATTATTATCTCTGAAGTGACCTAAACTTTACAAATTAAATGCTACAAGCCACAAAGATTTGAATAAAAATTTAACCATAAAAATTAACATCTTAATTAAGCCAGTAAAACAGTAAGATGTTATAATTAACAATTACACAAACGAGAAAGTAATGTCTTCCTATCCAATGGAAAGACTTCAAGTAAACAAACTTAAAAGGAACCTATTAAAATGTCTTTTTTCTATTGGCTCTGAAACTAAAATTGGCACCTTTCATTACTCTAAATATCTTCAATTATAGTGAGATTGTAAGGACTACCAATATAAAGCATATTAAACTCTTCCCCATGCATCATTACTTATTAAAATGGGAGGGAGATATGTGTGTGTCTGGAAGAATTTAACCCGTATTTCAAGAAGCGTGAGAAAAAAATTGATAGAAAGGTGAATACAATTTTTTTTTTTAATTCAGAACTTAGGAAGTTCTAAACTAGTCATAGGTAAATGGCAATTTTCTCAAGAAAACTGGATATATAATTTATGTATCCATAATTTATACATCCATAAAACTCTTATGGCATCAGTCCATTTAAAATTGTTTTCATATTGTGAAAAGAACTTTCTAAGAGTCTAAATAGCTCCTGAATTACCCAAATTACATCATAATTCCATACTCTACTAAGGCCACATGTGTTTTATTATTTCCTAATATAATTACTTTCCTATTACTTAGTGGTCAAATTTTTCTACCTTGAAATAGTAGAATATAATAGTTGGTTCACAGAGTATGTACATTTAATATTTCTCCTGAAAGAAACAATACTGGCATTGGCATCATTTATACTTGTTTCAAAGCTGTTAATATCAACTTTCCATTACTAAAATCAAAGTGAAAATATATTAATTTCATGCCAATATTTAAAAATACCTAACACATTAGACTGTACTTTCATGATATATTCTGAGGATATTCCATAAATAATATCTTAAAATATATTTGGGATATCTTAAAATATATCTGGGCTAGCTTAACAAGAGCTCAAAATTACGGTTCTAATATTTACATTCTAAACAAGTTGCTAGATGTTTTTATAATTTTATAATAATTCAATTTTTTTAAAGATTTATTTATGCTTACAGAACTGGGTTACAGGCCCAGAGGCGTGGTGGATGAGAGGATTCACCAGAGACTGAGTGGGGAGCAGAACAGGCAGACCTACTGAAATAAACTGCTGAGGGGAGCAGCAGCGGGTCAAGAAAGGTCTGCCACACCATGTGGGTCAGCTCTCTGGCTGGGAATCAAACTCATGCTGCAGTGGCTTTGGAGAGCTTCATTATGTGGTGCTGTAACCATTGCACCACCAGGGAGAGCCCCAATAATTCTATTTTAATCCCTCTAATGGGCTTAAGACAGAAGGCACTATATTTATTCAAAATAAATTCCAGAAAATAAAATTTATTATTTGTTTAAAAACTTAAAAACCCATCCCTATTTCAGGTGAGGTAATAGAGGTTCAGCTAATTAAAAAACTTTGCACTACTACACACTATAGGAGCTGGATTTAGAACCCCTGCTTCTCTGACTCAGAGTTCAAACTATTTACCGCTTGCAGTATACTAGCTCTCAAACTTACTAACCAGTTATTAGCTTTACAAGGTACAATTTGGCTTGATCTACAACTATTAAAATAGCATTCAACAATACTGATGACTTAATATTTAAAGAAAGACTGAACCATCTGTCAAAAAACATCAGTGGAAAAATAGCATTTACAGAAAATGGTGTGTGGAACTTCAGCTAGTGGCAGTTTATTCCTTTAAAAATGCAGAATAAGCTTTATATGTATTTATCACACCATTAATGGTATTTGCTTTGCTTAAAAGCTATGCAAATAACATAAAACAAACTCTTCTTTAGCTTAGAATACATGACATAAAAAAATTAAAGTGATCTTTATTGCCACAGCTAGCAAAAAATATTTACTTGTCCTAGATATATTTTCATCTACCTAAGAGATTTAATACTTCCCTAAAAACAGGTTTAGATTTAATATTTCCCTAAAAAATGATCAAAATGTTTAAAAAGTAAAGCATCACCCAGCTCAACTTCAAAATACACTCTGAACTGAGAATGAGTAAGTTTCAATAGCCTGGTGAAAAACTAAATGCAAAGGTTCTTCCCAAATGTGCAAGCAGGAAGAATTTACTCCACTCACTTTTCTTTCCCCAAACTATGGCAATGTTTCACAACAATCTGTTTTTCTATTAAAATTCAAGAGCAAAAACTGTAATTTTCAGTAACTAGGAAATACTTTCGAAGTATTTAAATGTTAAAGATAAGGAAAAAGTAAACTAGGCTTTCAATTTGTAACATCAACCATTCTTGAGAAATCCAAGTCAACTTTCCAGATTCTCCAAGGGGTGTGTGTGTGTGGGGGGAAGGGGGGATATGACATTCAGACAGTAAAATAGCATATACACATATACACGGATTAGGAAATCCAAAGAAAAATCATTTTATAACTTTTATCCCCCTCATTTCCTTTCTATCTGACATCCTTTAATAATTACTATTCTTTCTTCAACCCACTCCTCCTACTTTATCCTCACACAGTATGTACTTTAAAAAATGTGTTTCTTAAAAAAGAGAGAATTTCTTTTAAAAAAAGAGAATTTCTTTTAAAAAATGAAAAAACATACCATAAATTTAACTGGCATGTACATATATACAGCATTGTTCTAGTCACTGATTAAATCTAAAAGGGAAATAGACAATGTACACAGAGTTACAAAAAGTTAATGGTGGGATCCAATTATTTAAAAATATATCTCACTATGAATAAGGTGAAGCTTTTTTAGAAGAAATGGAATTTGAACTCAGAAGGCAGGAAGGAACTGGAAACACGTCAACAAATGGGGATTTAACACAAAAGAAACAGGATCAACAAAGCTATGAAGGTAAGCATTCAAATAGCAAATAGCTAGCACATAGGTGATATGAAATAAGGCATAAATTTCTATAAATGGGTTGTTAAAATATTCAGGGATGAAAGATATCAATATTAACCAATAAATGAGATTCCCACCAAAATGTACATATGGAACTTAAATTCAGTGCGAGAGGCACTCTGTCTACTGACCAACCAGCTTCCTAATACCAAAGGACGATTAAAACTCCTCAGTATAGCACTCACTTCTACTTTGACTTTGTACACTTATAATTCACCAACAGAATTGACTACACAACTGACCTGTAATTAAGTACTGCTATCTCAGCTTTATTTTTTAACCTATTTATGCCTTCTGTCTAGAATCTTCTTCTAAACCTTTAAGCTTTCCAATTCTAACCTA